CCCCGCCTCTTCCTCACCTCTCTTTGCGAGAGACATCTAGTGTTGGTCGTCGTAAACAAACACATGCGCTCGACTCACTTTCTGCATTGCAAACTCTACCGCATTGAGTTCTTTCCCAAGGGCCTCGTGATGAGCCTTTTGCGAAGGAGTTTGCAGTTTGCTGAAGCCCCTGGAGTGGTACTCCGAGTTGAGTGAGTCCCATCGGCGCTGCAGTCCCTGACGCAACTGCTCAAGTTCATCTGCGGATAATTCAGACCACCTTTCTGCCACCTCGCGCTGAGAAGCTTTAAGCCTCTCTACCAGAGCGTGGCGTTCCTCAATTTCTGTTTTGACCTCCTCCAGGTACACCGGTACCTTCCCAAAGTCAGCACGATCTACCGCACGACTTTCTGGAGGAGGAACGTTCTTGGTAGGTATGGCGAGAATACTCTCTACGGCATTTGCCACGACATAGTTCTTGTCAGTCTTCAGGCCCATGATAGGCTTGTCGTATCTACTTGGAATGTCATCTTTCAGTTTAGCAGTATCCTTTTTGGCTTTAAGGAATTTTTTATTGTTCAGAGTTGTTGCCCCACGGCTCGCAGTGTAGGGGCCCTCGTTCTTTTTCAGAAAGGTTTCTGGATTCACTGTGCAACCCGCATCTCGTCCAAATGTTCCCAAGGGCTTCTTTGCTGGGTGAATCGACGGCTCTGTAACTTCGCCGCCCATGTTTGCGACAACAGCACTTGTCCCATGAATACCGAAAGTAGACGCTGTAGGTGGGGCAGCCTTACTTCCACTGAACTTGGACTTGTGCCTCTGTTGGGGCGGGGGCACTTCCACCTCTGTTTCAATGAGGTTGAAGACGCTCTCGCCAGACATCTTCCTTCTTCCGTATTGACTCTGCAGATGAAGAAAAGGAAAGAAAAGTGGAAAAAGGGAGCTCATACCTATTTTGAAATATTTGTCTGTGCGTATGTGAGTAAATTTGTGAACGAACGCCCCTCTTCCTCTGATCAAGCGAAAAAATGTTGGTTGTATTGCTTTGTTCTTTTAATTCCCGCCCTCGTAACCTCTACGCTTTGGGAAGCGGTGAGATTTGTGAAACACTCTCTGGCGCTTCGGGTGGTGGGGGTGGGCGGGAATTTGGTGGGAAACGCACACGCATCGTCTTGTTTGGCAAGTACGCCTTCTTGAGCATCCACCAGTGCGTCTTCATGACGTATCCCATGAGGAGAGGGAAAACGGCAAAGAAGGTCAAGAGAGATATCTCAAATGAGTTTGCGTCATGGGCAAGGGCTGAATGCGACCCAATGTTATTCTTGTCATAAAAGACAGTGCAGTGCTCGCCCACACGCAACACAGGGATAGCCTGGAGGTAGTGAGACTCAGTAATGGTGTCATTGTAAAAGCGCTCCATCCAATTTCTGTAGGGAGATCCGGTAGTTGCCCTTGTTGATACGTATTTTTTGCCATCTACTTCGTACTCGTAGCGAACCGCATAACGAGGAACGCTGATGTAGCGATAATTCAATTTCCGAAGCTCCAACAGTTTTCCGCGAGTAATAGACCATCTAGAATTAGCCTGATATGCAGTTAAGGCGTCATAATAGCAACGCGTGTTGACGTACACAGCATAGGCCAAGAAAATAGCTGGAATACGAACCTCCAAAGCAAGATCCCACATCCATTGCGGCTGCTGTTTACCTGTGAAAAATTTGTAGATCCTGCCAGACATAGTTGGCCTACTCAAATCGATTGGAATGACTTCTTCTGTAAGCTTCCGTCTCAGAGAGGAAGAAGCAGAATGACTTTACACCCACGACAGATAGATTTCCTCTTTTTTTTTCAAACTACAACAGCAAATACCCTCTGGATCTAAACAGAATTACGACGCAGAGAAAAGAGAAGCACCCAGACCATCTAATGGCATACAAAGCATGCATCCTAAAGGATATGAACCGTCGGTTTTGTGTGAGCCTTTAAGTGGGCATTTTTTTGGACCGGGACACGGCACTGGCTCCGGCTCTGCGTTTTTCCACTGGCCCTCACAACGGTTGCACATGTAGCGATTGCCAAAGGATAGATGAGATGCTGGATTGCAACAATAGCGGCACTTGTAGAGGACAAAGTCATGTTTGTGTTTCGGGCAGAGAAAATCCTTGTTGCAATTGGAGCATAGCAGCTCTCTTGGCGCCTTTGCAGGTTCATCTGACATTAACCGAAAGCACCAGCGCTCACCACCATAGAACGGTTTTCCACACTGGAAGCAAATATAGTAAAGCAAGTCTTCGGCAGTCTTGTTAGCCATTTCACGAAGACGCTGCTCGAGATCCTTATCAATCAATGCAGACAAAGACCTCATGTATTCTGAAAGCGGTGCGGCGGGGTGACGAATCATAAAACCGCATCCAGCAGGGCAAAGGGCGTACGTAAAAGCAACGTGTTCTCCTTTTGCCACAAAACCATCTGCCCGAGAAGAGAAGTTCGCAAGACATTCGCGATGAAAACGGTGCCCACAATCTAGAGTTACACCAGTGCCGTCATCAAAATCACAAAAACAAATCAAGCAAGAGCCCTCAGGCGCGGAGGAAGGCACAAGAAGTGGTCTTAGGCCATGACCCTGGAAAACCACAGAAGATACAAGCGCATTCTGTGTGTAAAGACAGAGTTCGCCGCTTTCTTGGCAGGTAAGTAGCGCACCACCACTAAGCGATATGAACGGTGTGCTAATAGCTAGAGTGAAGGTACCTTCTCTGACCTCACCGTTTTCGTTGATGGCAACAACCCGATTGGAATCAAAAAGTGCCATGACGAAACCATTCTGCTGGCCAAGGAGCCGAATCACCTCACCTCTCGTTTCAACCTTCCTGATAGAATTGTTGAAATGGAATACATAAAGCTCGTGGAATTCATTCACAAAGACAAAACCATGACCTGCTGCATCCACATCCAGCACATTGTGATGTAGCTCTAGAGTCTCCACATCTCTGCTGAGGGGGTCGAATGCGTAGAGACAATTTCTGCCACAGCAATACACCTTGTGGCGATGAACGATGAGTCGGCTGACAGGTCCGGGAAGCCGAGACCTTAAAAAGTCAGACCCATTTCCGTGTCGCTGCAGGAGATCAGGTGACCTCGGATCAACATAGTAAAATTCCTTTTCACCAAAGCAGGCAACAACAGCCCGGCACGGAAGCGGCGAGGCAACTGAAGAATATGTTAGGCGGCCTTCCTCTATCATCACCTGGTGGAGTGAGTCACCATCAAACACGTACGCACTTGCCATAATGTATCCTCCACTCAAAAACTAGTTCTTAACATCCAAAAAACAACAAGAAAAGGCAAAAAGGGAGAAAACGATGTGCACCATTGGGCTTGCATTATGAGGAGCAACTGGTGCCTCTAACGAGACGTTGTCCCATTCAATAATGTAGATATTGGCTAAATCCACTGCGAATAAACAAAGATATGTAGAGGGGGGGGGGGGAAACAACTATCACCTACTGGCGCCCAGTATGTTTCTCGGCGCGTTCCCTCATCTCATGAAGCCGTTCAGCGGTCACCGTAAAAATCTTGAGATCCATCTCTTTCTTGGTGTGCTCATCGAGCGATTCTCTGGCCACACCGTCTTGGAACGCCTGCACACGGCGCGAGCTCGCGCGGGCGCGACGCCACTCCTCAACAAAGATACGCTTCACCTGGCTTTCGTACTCGGCATCGTTACCCCACCAAGGGAGCATCGTGTCGGTTGTGACATACTCCATAGTTTCTGGGTGCTTCTTCTGTTGCGTTTTTGCCCGCATCCAACCCTCCACGTACACGTACACCACAAGAAAAATGCACAGAATGTAGACAAAAAGAACCGAGGATTCAAGGCGGATCTTTTTGGCCTCCTCGGTGTTTTTCATCACCTCAGTCGCCGTTCGAGCCGCCAACCCGGCTACATCAGGACGGTCCAGCACCTTATTCTTTGCCGTAAGAACCTCGATATCTTCAGCGCTAACATCCGCTGTTCTGAGAGCCTTCTGGCTGTCAGGCACGTCTTGCTCCACGTTTGACTCCAATCCTTCACATCCCTCTGATTTTTTGCCCTCGCTCTCAGTAGAAGTTGCACCGGGAACTTTATTTGTACTACGTTGCTTCTCCAATCCTTCTTCATAGTCTTCAAGGTAGAGTGGACCCTCTGTACCATCTGTAAGAGTCATTTTCTCCTCCACTTTCGCTGTGCCGTCCTCAAGCAACTCCACTCGAACAGTGCGGAGACTATTTTCTTCCATTATCTCTTCAATGTCCTCGAGTAACAGCATGGCCTCGTCATCGTTGGCCGCTATTCTTTCAGTTAAATCATCCCCGAGACGTGCCTTGACCTCTTCAATTTTCTGAATGTGGTCCTCTAAAGTAGAGATAGGTATGTAGCTCTTTATCTGAGAACGTGCTTCCAGGTAGTTTCGCGCCTCGTGATCATCCACCTGAAAATTCCCCAAATTGACGATCTTGTTCTCCACCGTTTCCACACCGTAGTCCTTCATGACGTCTTGGTAGGCAAGACTTACCCGCAGAAATGCCTCCGCGTCACCACCGGCATCAGGATGTGTCCGCCGGCAAGCGAGGAGATACTTTAGCTTCGTTAAGGCAAGCGGCAAGCCGGGTCTGCACTCTAATATACGATAGCGCAACGGATACTTTTCATACTCTTTCCTCCTTGCCTCAGCCTCCATCATTTGCTTATTCTCCGCTTCGATTTTTCTGTAGTCTTTCGACACCTCAGCAGCACCCACAGCGCGCTGTATTGATGTTGTGCAACGAAGGAATGCTCTGAAGCGAAGCATCGGAATGAAAGAGGAGCGCTACCTAACGGCCTCTGAAAGAAAAGAAAAAGGGGAAAAGAAGATGTAGAACAAACAAGAAATAAGCCAATGGCTAAATCAACAGATTAAAACGGCATAGTTTTCTCTGCGTCATAAATGATCTCCAGACGTAGTCGTGGCACCATCAGCAAGAAGTAATTGTAGCCTCACTCTATCCACGCAGTCAAAATAATAGAACTTCACGGGGAGAGTTACTGTACGAGAGAATCTCCTCAGTTTGTTGCCCTCACCCACTCCTCAATGTCTTCATCTCGAATAAGTCGCGTAGTTTTGGTTTGGGGGTCAAATCCGCATAATTGACGCTCAAAGACAAGCCTCTTCATCACTGCACGTTCCTTTTCTCGCGCTGCATCTTTGTACAAAAAAACTGGGGTGAAAATGTCCCTTGCATCTCTCTGAAGGCGAAAAAGAACTGTGGGAATACTATTATATTCCTCCGCTGTGGCGAGAAACTGTTCCACTGCTTTCCACTTCCCATTGAAGCAACTGTCACTAATCGCATTCTCCACTATGTCTAACCAAACATCCTCCGTATTCCCTCTGTTCTGTATGCTCAAAGCAATCGCCTTAGGGAGATAAAATGGAGACTTGAGCAATGCACCAACAATATCCGGAATGTTAGGTACGTTAACATGGAACGTCGACACGTGCGCATTCAAATAATGCCAAACCGGGTGCCTACCTCGATCACTATTCCTTTTGGCAACATGAATAGGTTCTGATTCATTCAAAATAAGCTGACGATAAGCCATTTCGGACTCTGCCAACTGCAAATCTTCTACGAATGAACTTATTAAACAGCGAGCCACGGTGAAGACAGTTTCACGACACAGATTACTCTGCAGAAAAGACTCTGTCGTCGGAAAAATTGGCTGGCCATCTTTAGATAACATTGCACTAAGCGACTTCAAATACACAGGGACATTCATAACGACAGTGTCCAGATCTACTGTATTACCCGTCAATGAACGCATGAGAGGAAGTCCCTCACTTTCCTTGTACTCGTCTGCTCCACTGGAAAACTTCTTTTTTTGTAACGTAGCGAATATGGGTACCCCTGCAAATACTAGGTTGCGCAAGCCCAATATGGAGAGTACAATTCGTCGATACACCGAGCCGTGGGTGATATTTGCGTAGTAGTTTGGAACAGGCTCCATGGCGCCACGTAAGCAAAGGCGTACATCTTCCGCTGAGCCACCGTATTTATTAACGAGAAAACGATCTTGCATGACGCCAAGAAGTACGTTGTACACATCCAGGAAGGGCCGAGTATCTACGCCATCCATAGATACTTCAGTCAGAAGACTCTTCTCTAGAGCTCTCAATTGGGTATCAAGTCGTGCGCAATTCCTCAATACACTTGTCAGGGTGTCGTCGTTTACCACCGGAACCCTATTCAAACAACAGGGTGTACTCCCAACGAGACGTCGCACACGGCGCTCCCCTCCACGTCTGTTCCGCTGAACCATTTTGCTAAACACAACGGTAAAACGGTTTGCACCGAGAGAGAACGTGTATGAAGGCTCACCTCTTTGGAACGCCACTTCCAATAGCTCGCTAAGTTCCTTGGTGTAGGGAACCAACTCATCGGTGAGTGGGTCCTTAGATTGCCAGGTGACCATAATGCACCCAATATGCCATTAGAGCACTGCACTGCATTATGAAAAAAAGAGCACCATCACCACCACCAAAAAAAAAAGAAACGATGATCATTTTGAAGTCAAACATGAACAAAAAAGGCGGAAAAAAAAAGAAACCGCAGCGACATGAACGAGAGACATCGACCAGATTCAAAAAGAAAAAAAAGGTTGTTTTTCTCGGCAGACAATTTCGAAACAACATCTAGAGCGGACATTGGTACAAAAGGTTCACTGAACTAACAATATATTTAGGGAAGAGGAGTACACTTGTTTTCATTTTGTCCTTCCCCTTCATATTGTACCTCTACTAATTCCGGCCAACAACAGAGTAGAGTTGCTGGTTTTGATTTACCCCAGTGTATTGCCAATTGCTGTTTGTATCATAATATACGGACTGATCCTGCTGGGACCCCTGCTGCGTTCCATGGTCCTCCTGCCACACCATGTACTGTCTGCCATCGCCAGAGTACTGATTCCCTGAGTGCATAGGCCCTGAATACACAGACGGAAGGGGTTGCATTCTACCGCCCAACTGTGTCTGAATTCGTTCTTTGTATCGAACGCCCCCACGGATATCCCACTCTGTATTACGGATTGACTTCTTTCCTGACTCCTCCCCACAGTAGTACAATCGCTGCGCACCTATAAGAATCACAGGAATCAGCAGAATCAAGAAGATCAAGAACCAATAATGGGGTAGACAAGAAGAAACATCCCCATGGTAGGTGAGAGCCGGATAGCTGGGCCGAGAGTATACACTTACGTCCTCTACCACGACAGAAACGATCCGCTCTGAGAGCAGAGTCGAAGCATATCTAAGATGATCCACAAGCTCCAACAAGAGCTCACTCCTGTCAGGTGTTGTCACTGTCACATGAGCGAAAAACAGTTGATTGACGAAATCGATGAATCCTAATGTTATAAGAGAGCAATCCTGCATCGAAAAAATTTGACAGAGCTTCATAACCAGACGTTCTCTAGGGTTTTCTTGCATAGCAATCGAAAGGGTAAGATTGTTAAAGCCAAAATCCAAAGAATTCACACTCACCACATCGTTTTGATATTCGCAAACGTTCGTAAATTCGAACCTTGCAGGTTGCCTCCCAAACTCATTCAAGCTCAATTGGTTCAGGTTGTCAATCAATTGAGCATCTGGTACAGTTGACCAGCCATCAAAGATGCCATTTAAAGCCTCAATATCAGTCATAACTTCATCTGGGCTACCTGTAAACCATTGACTGGCGACAATAACCACATCTGGCTGATGCGCAAACGAGTTTGTAAACACTTTCCTTGGATCAATAGCCACGTTGAGATACTGTGTGACCAATTCATTAAATGTGGAGTTCAAGGTTACATTTCCAATGCCTCGGAGGAGTATCTGACGTGTAAACGGGAGCGCCACCTGATCTTGACACTCTCCGAGAGCCGCCGCAAGCACAAGAAACAGCAAACACCTAAGTAACGTTCCCATTGTGTATTTCTACCTTTTTTTTCCCTTTTCGGCTCTGAACTCGTAAAAGAGAAGAAAAAGAACATTCAGAGAAAAGCACAGAATAAAAAAAAAACGGTGGCGGAGCGCTTCCAAGTTGGATGCACGGGCACTAAACAAACATACACAGAGAGACGTAGCCTCTCACAGTTCTGCAAGCTAACCAAATTCCGTGTTTGTGTGTGTATGTGCGTAAAAAGCCGTAAGATCAGACTTTTTCTTTTTCTGAGCATGGGCGGGGAGGAATACACTCAGGAGACACCTCTGTCCAAGTGATTCAGCTGATGGGTAAGCTTTGCTATCCGCTCTGATATTGCCGCCGCGTCGCCGTCGAGGTACGGAAGAAGAACACATCTTTTAAGAAGTCCCTCAAGGCGATACACTGACTCCAGATTCAGTTCAAGGTCTGCTGTCGTAGCAGACGTCAACTTTACAGTTTGCATCACCCCCAGAAGTGCTCTCTTCTTTAGTCGTTCTGAAAGACCACACGAAACAGAGACCGATGTGTGAGAAAGGCTGATGTGCTCTAGGTACTCGAGAGCCTTGACACACTCCACGGCACTCATAGACTTGGCAACGACATAGATCTGTGCAAATAATAATTCAAAAAGACACTCATCATCAGCATCGGCTTCACCGACAGGTAGTCGAAGAGCCATCGTTGATAGAAGAAACAAGCACTCTTCTTTTGCAAGGTCACCAAAGCGAAGATCCTTGCCGAGCATTTGGCAAAGCTTGCGGCGGACGCACAGTGGTAAGCCATCGCACTCCAAAGCATGTAGCACGACAGACGTCGGCACTACCATTAACTCCTCCACATCACAGGCAACGAGACGTTTTACAATATCCCCGCAAATAATAAAAGGTCTGCCGTACGGTGAGGCATCCAGCAACGGGAAAACCAAGAGACACTCCCAAATCGATAGCTTTGGCAGCATATCATGCATACGTTGAAGACATGCTCTGAAAAGGCGACCACTTTCAATGGGTCGCCCGTATACCACCGACTGTGTGTCTCCAAGAACGATAAGAATCCACCAGACAGCTTTGAACCCAATCACGTCACTACACATAACATGGTGTCGAAGACGAGTAAGAAGTGCACTAACAATGCCCTCCTCCCGCCAATTACTATCAGCCTGAAACGTTACTGAAAGCGTCATTTCCAAGAGCATCAAAGACGTTACCGCATCCAGCTGAAGCACTAAATCACTAGATAGTACGGACGCTATCACCGATCTTGAGGCTTTACCCTGCCGATGCTTTATAAATTGCGAGTACAATACGAATACATCACTGTTCACATCTGTCTTGGGTATTTCCAGCTCAACTTCCCGAGACACACTAGAAGTAGAATCTGTAACTCCTTTTAACCGAAGAAGCGGCGAAAGCCTCCCCAGCAAAGCTCTCTCATTTTTTGTCATGCTTGGAGCCATGGCATTCAATGCACCTGAGGCAGCCCAGTCCAGTTTGTCTACAATTGTGCCTGACCGCACCAATACGCCCAAAACAGCGAGAGCCTGCGACGGGCTCGAACAGTTCCAGTACCGACTTTCGACTAGTTTTTGATGATGATGGGCCACCAGATAACGATCAGCATTTGACTGAAAAGCATGTACACTACGCACAAACGGTGACCGAGCTAACATTAACAACTTCACAGCGCAACAATAAGAAAAAAGAAACACAAGGCCTACAACCAGAACAGCAGAGAGTAAAGAATTCGTAATATACGCCTTATATTCTGCTCAACGCAAGCTATAAAAAAAAAAGAATCATAAAAGAAAAACAAGAATGAACGTACAAAGGCAGGCATTCAGCAACACTACTTCTTGGGCTGACTCTTCGGCACGGGAATGCGCTCCTGCGGCTGCGTCATGAAGAGCTGCACATGACAGGGGCTGCACATGTAGGGCGTGATACGGCCGTGGGCACGGAACGTGCGGCGGCGCATGCGGGCAGCCTCATCAACCTGCACGTGCTTGATGACCATCTTGTTGGGGTCAAGACCCTTCTCAATAGCGTTGGCCTCAGCGTTCTTCAGCAGCGAGAGCATCGCCACAACCGACTTGCGTGGCC